ATCTGGACTGCAAACAAATCTGTGCAAAAACAGTCTTCCTCTGCTCTCGGGCATCTCCGATGGAATCCTGAGTTTAAAGAATCAGATCTATTTTGCTCTTTATTATCTACTCAAAGTTGTTTTGAAAAAAACAAAAACAAACAAAAAAAAAATCGAATTTCTATCCACTCTGAACACAATTCCTTATGGCACCAATTCAAAAGCCTACAATTCAGCATATGTACAAATGCATGATCTTTTTGATTTTTCTTCAATTGCTGAGAATGCTAACCTTATCTCCCTTATTACATGGCTAGTGCTGTGTGAAGAACGTATTTCTTTGGGACAGATGATCAAGAGTTGCGTTAATGGTTGGCTGACAGAGCAAAGGCCTTTCCAAATCAGAAGGGTTATTAATCTCGGTATTCCACAGTATTGGGCACTTAGTAATAAATGTCTGTTGTATAAGTGAAGGAAGGAATGAATGAACAAGAATTTTCTGATAACACTGTGAAGGCAACACAGTCAACGTTCATTCCCAATGATCTATTTGTGCAAAGAACCTGAAGAAAGGACTCTGCAAAGACAGCTAGCTAGTCATCCAGCTGACTTACAGGTGAGCACTGTAGAGATCAAGTCCTGCTCTCCTACGCTAGGAGACAGAACTAGAAGCGAGATCACCTGATAGCCATGCCCAATCCCTACAACCACTTTAATGTGATGAGATGGTCCCGGTGCCCATTTCTGCCAACACTCTTGACTTAGGCTTCCCAGTCAGAGAGGAAGTCTCTTGATGATAGATATCATATCCTAAATAGCTCTGTCTTCACAATGCCCAGAACAAGACAGTATACACCAACAGTCCTCAATAAATGCCTGCTGAATTCAAACTGGAAAATACGTTCTAAGGATACCACTGAATGATGAGATCAAGCCATAACTGAGATTTATCGTTAAACCATCAGGAGTTATATCTGAAAGCAAACTAACTGGTCAAATGCCATTTCCCCAAGCAGTTTTCTGTGCTGACATTCTGGGCCTCTCTCTGGCTTTTAAGGGAAAGAAGAGCTTCCTCTACCCATCTCCCTGTGAGAAGGATGGAAGAATTAGTCTACTTCATTTGAACGGAGTTAGAGTGGGTTACTCCTCGACACAGTCACACATACCAATGAAATAAACATACATTTCCCAAAGTCATTATTCAGTCCAGAAACTTACACGACATTAACAGTGTCCTCTTTTCCTTACATAAGCACTAGAATCAGCAGAGCTTTTGCCCCTTTTCACCCTAAATAGTGCACTACACATTCAGGAAACAGGAAGATTATGGAGGTGGGCCTAATCATGCAGAACTTGTGTTACTTGTGGATAATGACAGTAACTACTAGAAAAATAATAACCGTCTCCAAAAGAGGCCTTTAGATAGTGATTCACAGAGATCAAAGATGAGCATATTTAGAGGACATGAATTGTAATACTTATTTATGATTAATGTCTATTTCTCCAAGGATACAAAGCTCAAAAAATAAAACTGCCATATTTGGCACCGGGAACTAAAGCAAAGCCTGATGAGCTCTTATTTTAACACATCAACGTCAGGTTTCTTTGCTTGCTCAATATGTAATCAGTTTCCTCTGAGTAGGAAAAAAATTCAGAGTGATAAAGCAGATTTTTTCTGGTACTTATGCTGTTAAGGGCCAAGGTTGGTTTGTGTTGTTTTGTGCACATATGCCCCCCAGCTAGGGAAACAGAAGGTGGGACTCGACTCTTCTCTCATTTTGGCTCAGTCTGCATTTCAGAAAAAAAGATACATCTAAAATACTCAACTTCCAGTAGGATCTGATGGAGACAGGAAGATTCAATTAATGAGGAATTCTACAGAGGCTTTTTCAAAATCTGGAAAATGGCATAAAAAAGATAGTGACAGCTTCCCTCTAGCTAGTTTGATTTAAATTAATTATATCATTCAGACATATATAATCAGAAAATCACAAGCCTTTTTAATAAATAAAAAGACAAAACACAAATGCAAAACGAGAAACAAACCTGTCTTGTGTCACTGGGAAGTAAAGCAGGTAATCAATTCCATTTACTTTTATTCTTCCACTTCCATGCTCATAAACAACTGCTTCTGCTTTTGCGCTCTTTCTTTTACCTTTGTAAATATAAAATTTCTATTAGTAAAAATCTTCAAGGCGAATGTTCTGAGGTAGGTAAAACGACATTAGATTTTCTTCCCCAGAAGGACAATATACTATTACACTGTACGTAGCAAAGTTCTACGAGGATTACAAGTCAAACAAAAATAAAACAGGCAAACTACACCATAATCGATGTAATAGAGCTTACTATGGGGTAATTTTGTTCCTCAACTCTATTTTAGGAACACCACAATCATTTAAAATTAGTATCAACAAGCGATGAAGTAATTCATATTTATTAACCTTACTTTAGAAAAACAAGCAATTTACAATGGTCTTCTTTGATAATAAGGATATATGTAATCATAGAACTTAAACAAAGTATGGGTAGTATGATACAACAGAATTGTTAGAAATGAAAAGAATCCCCAGGAAAGGTCCCATTTCTTTGAAGTGCCAAAGGAAGAGTTGAAGGTTTGTCATTCACTAGGTCAGGCCTTAAGAGCTGCATCAGAATGAATGTCTGCGCGGCTCCAAGGAACATGCGAGGTTGAGGGCCTCAAGTTTTCAGGTTTCATACTTTTGCTATCTGATAAGCAGGTTCCCTGAGCATTTTATAGGGGAAACCTTTACTACGAACAGTTTTTGTTTCTGCCAGTTGAAAATGTGAAAAGAAAAAGATTTCACATAAATCTGTAAAACTAAAAAGTGTTAACATGATGGGGTAGGTATGCATCCACGTTTTTTCTTGGGACATGAGAAGGTTCAGATTTTTGAAACCTCAACAGTCTTAAGAATTAGGATATCCAATGTAGCAGTAGCAACAGAACAAAAACAAAAAACAAAAAACACCAAATGAATCAACTAAATACCAGGGAGCGATAGCAAGTAAAAATAATTGTTGTTTCTCAGTTTTCACGAAATTTATCTTCTCCCCACGGAATGTCATTACCTTCGCTGGTGCTGAAGGCCATTCCTTGCTCGTCATACTGCACAGGTTCAATCAGGTGTTTTTTTGATTGAATAGTTACACTCCTACGGAATCTCTGTACAAATTCTTCTTCGGCACCACGGTGCAGCGTCAATAACCTTTCCAGCAGCCGAATGAACTGTGCATACTGCAGACAATAAAATCAAAATTCATTAGAAGATGCAAGTGTAATTGCATTTGCTAAATTTTTTCTATTTTTGTATACCTGATCTTTCCAATGTTGCTTTTCCTGATGAATTTTGACAGGATGACACTTCTGCACCTTCATGCTGCTTTTAAAACACAGCATGCAGACACCGCGCCTCCCCTGTGTAGCCCTCAGTGCCCTATCTTTTCTTTTGAGAAACAAAAGAGACTTACCAAGCAAAGAAAAGTCAGTTTCTCTGTATTATAATTACATGAAATTGAGGTTTAAATTCATTTTCAAAAAATATTTAGATGATCTTCAAGTGTAATTTCTACTCTTTTATTAGCCGGATCAAGAGGAGGTTTAAAAATAATTTCCAGTTAAGTTATGTATAGTAAAATGGGGAGAGTTTGATTTCGAGAAAATGCACCTCTTAAATTATATTTCATAATACATTTGGCAAATATATCTTTAGCTGTTCAAGCTGTGTTACTTTAATGTTTATGATTTCCTTTAAAACCGAACAATCAAGCTATTTAAAAATTCAAGAGATACTTGACTTAAAGGGCAACCTCTTGAAATAAATTATCGCTGCTACTCTGTACGTTTTTTTTAATAGTTCTCGAACATGTGATTAGAAAGTAAACAACTTGGTATTAACCCCTTAAAATTAGACGCCAGAGTAATCATTCTAAAGTGTTTATGCAGAAGGAGACAACTAATACTCGAGATCCTTAGTTAATGTGGAGTGTGAGACCCAATTTTTGATAACCTTATTTGTGTTTCTGTCAACCCTAAAAATCATACGCCTCTGTCGCCTCTGACTTTATCGTGAATATCTGCCATTAATAATCTGAAACGTGGGGAAATCTCAACAGTAAGTTTAAGAAGATTGCTTCAATTACTGCTTCCTGTGCTGTCACAATAAAAAAGAGGGGAATTTTCTAGGTAAGGGTGACAGACTTCGCCACCTGCGGTTCCTGGACGGACACAGCTCTGTTCTTTCCCTCCATTTCCAGGCCTGTGCCCTCTGCTCTCAGCGGTTCTCTCACTTCTACTGCACACCGACCATGAACGTACAGAGGGGAAGCTACGAGTCTGGCACGGCCTTTCTGATGCACTGGGGGTAAGGTTTAAGAAGTCCCTACTTCCTCATCTTGATACCAGCCAGCAGCTTCAGGATTTCTTCTGCTATCCAGTACCCCAAAGTATAGCAGACTATCATCTATGCATCTACTGTCTATGCACAAGAGATATACAGATCATTACGTGTATATACAGAAAATGCATATATTTGTTTTGTTTTCCCAGTTGCACACCTCTGAAAAAAGTCCTTGGGATGTTTTCGAAATGGAAAAACAAAACCAAAAAACAAAAGCCAAATTTGTATTATTTAAAAAAAAAAATCAAAGCAGCCAAAAAACACAGGAAACAATGAAATGATACACTTAATGAAGAAGCAAAGAGAGATTTTTTCAGTTAGATCCAAATGCAGCAATAGTGACTTGGCAGTTAGGATATTAGAAATTAACTCCAGATCTACCACTCACCAAATGCCTGACACCTTGTTAAGCAAATTGCAACGTTTCCAAATCATTAATTTCTCCAATATGTTAAATGAGAAAAAGAGCAATTTAAGTACACGACTTAGAATCAACATGGGTGGTAAGGTACTAACAATGTTAACCAGTGCCATGGAAGGAAAAACCCTTCTTGGAACAATCTGTGAAACTTACACTCAAATATTCTACAAATAACCTAAATTTAGAACATCAACATATATAAAACCATCAAATTTCCTCAGATAATACTGGCACATATTAGAGCACTTAGCAAAAGAGCACTCCAATTAAAACCTAAAGCCCAAACTTTATAGGGTAGAAGACTCACCTGGGGAGCTGGTTTAAGAATATGAATTCCTGGGTGACACCCCTGGAAATTCTGAGTGAGGGCTGAATCTTAGGAAACTGCATTTTCTAATCCGTTTTCTGGCTGCATTTAAGTGATTCTGACATAGGTGGTTTTGCAGATTCCAAGATGAAAAATACCGCCCTTCTAGAAACTGCACACAAGTAGGCCAGGGAGCGGCAAAGTGCACGAAGGCAACCATGTGCTCCCTTCTTTTTCTACTTAACCTGTGATAAGTCCTTACACTTGTCATTATTAGCTTGTAAAATTAGCTCTCTGCTTTACTGAAGGAGATGAAAAATGACACCTGCCACGCTTCCCAAGAACTGCTGGCAGAGGACTGTAAGGGCACTTGTGGATAGGAGGATCTGGACAGCAGGCATGTCACCTTCCTGACCGCAATAAGGACCCATGGCAGAAAATGACTCTAAATAGTTTCAGAAAGGGAACTGTCTTAACGAACACCTGCCCCTGAGAAACATTGCTGTGAGATCCTAAATACAGCAATTGTCTACATTCTTATGGTACGAGGTCCCCTTAAATTTAAAAGATTAATTACTCACATCTTGATCTGACAGTTTTTCCACTAACATTTCTTCTAGTTCCTCCTTAATCAGCCATCTGCTGCCAATCAGGTCTCTGTTAAAATATCACATATATTCTCTTTTAAATTAACCATGCAATTAGAGTTCTATCACAAAAGATCCCACATATAGTAGCGATTCTTGATTGGGAAACAAATTTTTGTATTCCAGAGCATTAAAATTTCACCCAAGTAAACTATTTTTGAGAAGTGTTATTTCATTCCCTCACTCTACTTTAAAAAAGACACCCAGTCTAGCAAATGTTTTGCTGGAGGACTTAAACATGCTCTTGTGGAACTCATCTGATACACCAAGCTACCAGGTTTCTTAAAAATTAACACTGCACTTATTTTTCACTATTTACCTCAAAGGTGAAGCAATGGACGCAGAGTTGGCCCGCCTGCAGACTAAATTAATCATCAAGTCCAAATAAAGAGCTAGCGGTGGTGTGTACAATTTTGAAAAGGGATTCTCGAAGACTTGTGTCTTCTGCATAAGAAGTAGTAAGTGGGGGCTGCCTGGGTGGCTCAGTGGGCTAAGCCTCTGCCTTCAGCTCAGGTCATGATCTCAGGGTCCTGGGATCAAGTCCCGCATCAGGCTGTTAGGCAGGGAGCCTGCTTCCTCCTCTCTCTCTCTCTCTCTCTGCCTACTTGTGATCTCTGTCAAATAAATAAAATCTTAAAAAAAAAAAAAAAAAAAAAGAAGTAGCAAGTGAAGCAGCAGCCTGAAATCACCAGGCTGACAGATCTATCCTATCCCTGTCTGTCCAGTGGAAGTCCAAATCTTAACATTTATAGGCCTTGTTTTTGGCATTTTAGTAAATATACAGCTATATAAACAAAAATTCTGAGGACCTCATCTTCAAATATAAGTGCCATTTAATAAATAAACCTGGAATGAAGATAAAAATAACAGCAGTAACATCTACTTCCTCCCCAAAACTCACAAAAAACTCACAAAAAACTCACCTGTTATTTTGACCCCTAACTTTAATGATCAATGCTGAAACAGGGAACACACTTGTAAGCTTTAAGTATGCCTAAACACCACCAATGACAAGTGGCATGTTTTTCATTCAAAATTTTCATGTATTCTAATGCAAGAGAAGAACTTACTTGGTTTCAGTTTTTTCTGAAAATAGACCTTTGGCTTGCAACTGATTCTGACGTTTTTCTGCTTCTAGTAGCTTTCCATATGCTTCCTGTGGCAAATAAAATACATGCGCTAAAATAAGAGCTACGGTACATTATGACTTCTACTTCATATTTTCCCTGTGAGCATTCCTCAGTTCAGAAGGGACCTCCTCACAGAATCTGGCTGCACAGCAAATAATACTGAAAATACTTTTTAATTATACTGTTTCTCAAACTAAAGGACAGTGGTGTAATTTCAATGAGAATTTAGTATAATACACAATAGCATATATTAACTGATTTTAAAATAATTCTGTAAGATATTTACTCTATAAAGAACTCTATTAAAAAAAAAAAAACTCCAGTGAGGTTGGTAAACACAAAAGAAAGCTACAAACTATTTTTCTTTAAGTTCCACAAACAGGACCAAAAATTATCCTGTTAAAAAAAATCATAATTTATATAGCAATATGCACTTTAAATTCAGGGAATTAACCAGCAAAGGTATGGTATTTACAGTTGAACTACTTATCTAATATTCAGTATTTATATAATATTTAAGTCCTCACCATGTTAGTCTATATCTTAAAAAGTTTTCTATTATATTTGTTTTATTATTTGATTTCTTTCCATTAATTTACTTCCCAACAAAGTCTGTAAATGTATGTCACTTGTTAAATTGTAATATAAACAGGGGAAAAGTGCCATTTTGTTAGAACTTGTAAAATGCAATAATCTGGCAATGAACAGTATCAATAAAATACATTTTCCAGGAAATCAGTTTACAAAAGTAGAATCATGCAAGTTGTCTCCCAGTTTTTTGACTTAACAAGTGTTCACTGAGGACTCACATGCAGTATGTGTGTATTCACTTACGATTTAACATAATCTACCACACTGATACCTAATGAGTAGACATTTTCAAAGGATGAGCCAGAGATGATATAAACGACATTTTTTCCCTTGCTGATCATGTCACCTTCCAATATCACCAGCTACTGTCCAATAATGAAGATACAACCTGTTACTGTAGACACGTTGATCCATATCCCAGTCTTAATAATTGCAGATTTTGGAAGGGCAACTTCTTGTGGGCTCTGATTAAGCTGCCGTATATATCACAAGGTTGCTCAAGAAGTCTGCTCTAAAAAAATGGAAAGTGTCTTTTTGCACAGGTCTCTGTCTGTATGAGCATGTGTACATTAATGGCGTACATGGGGATCTCAAACAAAGTGAAACCATCACCAGCTCGGTAACTTCCAAAGGTCAGTTCTCAGGGAAGCAGCAGCAGCACAAGTGTAGAACTGGTTAGAACTGTAATTTCTCAGGCCCCAACCCAGACTTTCAGATCATGAACCTCTGGGGTGGAGCCCACTGATCTGTTTTAATGACTCCAAGTTACACACACTGACTTTTGGATCTAAACACTAGAAGTACCAAGAGCCTAGTACAACATAATATGATAAAGGGGAAAATTCAGTTAATTCTATTCTCTTGTTCATTATTAAGTGTAACAATCTCTACAGCTATATCCATAGTACAAATCCATTGCCTGTGGCAACAGAACTACAACAGTCTACCCCCAAGAAAGCAAAAATGAATGCGAAACATCCACATGTAATATATATACCTGCTACTCAACTTAAAACTCTACAATTTATCTCCAAAGAATTGGTAAGCCTCATTTGACTGGTTGTGTAATTTATCTCCCAAGAATTGGTAAGTCTCATTTGACTTTTAACTCATTTTAGAAAGCTAAGGTACTGGGTTGTGACCCCAACTGGATACCGTATCAGAAAAATTTCTGTACACCTGTTTCTAGAAAGGAATTCTCAAACGCTCTGACCAGGTAAAATAAAGGAAGAGACAAGAACCCACAAGAAGTAGACAGACTCCACGCACACGGCATCTCCCTCCCTGTGCACCTGGCCCCAGGCTGTTGGCAGGCCGGGCCCAGCCACACTGCTACACCTTGGGGATCTGGGGAAGGAACAGCATAGGTCTCTATGGTCCGCTCCAGAGTCTGGACATTCTGAGGGTACGGAAGCCAGAGATGTAGTATCTTTCAAATCTAGCCAGCCAAACAAACAAACAAAACAAATCCAAGAGAACACCAACAACAGTAATAAGATGCCTTCTCCGGTTTGTAAGGCTGTTAATTTCTGGAATAACTGTGGCAACTAGAAAATAGTAATAATAATGAACCTGCCTCATAATCAAATTTTGAGTCACTTGTGGACTGCTAAAGTAATCATCATTTTCTAATGACTCTGGACCAACTTTAAGTCCATGCTCTTCTTCACATTTTTTTTTCACTGTGCCATTACCTTCCATGGTTATATTTAGCTCCATAATCATTTGTAAATAGTGCAAGTGAGATAATCAGAAAAAAATGTGTACTATGAGAAAACCAGCCAAAAACAGTACATGTAAAATTTCAAACATGGTAAATTCATTTACAGCAGATGCTTACACTTTGATGGTTGTAATCCATCGAACTACATAATTCTCATTAAGGCACCCCATACATTTCTTTAAATAGGAAAACATGCATCAATATTTAGCGCAGTGCCTGACCCATGGTAATGGTCAAGAAATGACAGCAGGGGGGAGGGATGGCATTCAAGAGTCTAACAATGGAAACACTTTTACTGGTGTACCATTTGTATTTATTCTTTCTCTTCTATATAATAAGACCACTCTAGAGATTCTATCTTGGTTAGTTAGAGACAACAGCTCTCTGGAAAGTAGAGTCTATAGCTTCAGCTCCCTGAAGAGATGTGTACTAACCAGCATCAAAAAAATCCCAGAGGGTATAAAATATGTCAGGAACTGTCAGCATCACAGATTATCACTGGTAGCTTCTGGTATATTGTTAAGTTTCCACTTAATTTTTAAAGGACACTAGAGAATTAGCGTGACCCCACCCATACTAAGTTTATATACTGTATTTAATAGTATAATTTTCAAATATGACAGGAATAACCCAGATGTGAAATGCTGAATCATTAATCACAGCTATGATTAATATTTCATAAAATCAAAGCAAGCCTATCCACCCCTCATGTCATCATATTTCCATAATGTATGAGTCAAATTTAGAAGGTGCCTAATTTGAAAATACCAGATGCTCAGGTTGCAGAAAAGGGATGCTTAAACGAAATCCTTCCAAGAGCATGAGCAATATGATTTTTTAGTATCCTTCTTAAATCTGTTTTGGCTATGTTAATCATGTAGAAATTCCAATTTTAGGAAGGGTAAACAAATAAAATTTCTTGTGGGGGTGGTATAGAAGTATATGATACCCAAATGATGCCCAAAACATACAACAGTAAACTGACAGTAACTATCCTCTTAGATACTAGTTAAATAAGAGGAAAGTAATGGACTTAAAATATGCGTTTGTCAAAAAAAAAAAAAAAATCACAAAAAATCAGATTTCCTAAGTAGCAATCATCCCAATTTTTTGGCTACTGGCATATAAATGAAATAAAATGAAATAAACATAATACAGAATTCACTTATCACAGTTACTGCTATTTATCTAATGTTTCAAGTGACATACCACACACCCTTGCTATCACTTTGTGAATACAATACACTGCATATATCGCCTTAAAAGAGCAGGCAGAAATATGTCAGCACCACCCTGCAGCTTTTTAAAAATCAGCACTCTGCACAGTTTGAAGGAGTTATTTCATAATACCTCATTTCGAGAAGGGTCACTGTTTTAACTCCATTTTTAAAGGATAAGGGCACAAAATAAGAAATTTTAAATATTCACAAGGTTACAAAGACAATGCAAACTACGTAAGAGTTCTGTGGCACTAAGTCCCCAGGACTTTTGTTTCTTGAAGTCTGGGATCTTCACATAGTGAAGTCGCTTCTAGGGCTGCTGTTCTCATGCTTTATGAACACAGACGGTTACTTAAGTCATTTAAAATAAACCAGAGAATTTCTAAATAAGCCAGGCTTCTTTCAAAAGGCAAATGAATCCCATTTATGCATAAGTTATCAGGATTAGAATTACTTGGTTTTCTTTCAAATTTTAACCTTTTTCACTTCAGCAGAGTAGTTTAAAAAATATATAATGATCTACTTATTCCTTAACTTCAAACTTTTCTGGGAACAGATTTCATCTGTGGCCATGTAATTCCTTCAATTTACAGAAATCCTTTGAAAATATTCCATTGTTTACTGTAAAGTGAATCCTAAAATATAAATGAGGTTTATAGATTTAAGAGGCTCAACTCCTGGTACAGTAAAAACTGCATCAAAAAGAGATAAACAACCGTATCATAGAAATTGGGGTAAGGGAGTTCGTGTGAAATGTCAGCAAATGCCCAAGGTATTTGATAACTGATTTCTTCAATGTCTGTACGGCCTTTTCCAAGCACTGGTCTCATGGAATGTTAAAAGGGGCTCCGGGCAGCAAAGGTTCCATGACCCAATGTTTGAGCAGCAGTGGGTTACTGCAACAGGCTTCTTTACTGCCAGACTTTATCATGCTATCCCGTAGCTCCTGGTGGAGTTTCCCAGGACTCAAGGGGCAGCACTGCCAAACTCACTTCACGGCAGAACCTTTTTCATGAAGAATATTTTATTACCTGTGTTTCTTAGCAAACTTTGGGAAAGGGTGCAGTAGACAAGCCCAGACTAAATGGATCATATTTTATAAAAGGTTTCCACTTCAGAGTCAAATAATCCCTTCCCGTAATGAATTTTAAATAATTTTCAATTCGCTTATAGTGAGTGAATTTAAAATTTTTCAAGAATGTGTATATATTAATGATAAATCTGAATTAACATTTTTCCTACAAGTAAAGTCCCTATCGAAACTCAACCATGGCTGTCCAGGTTGTAAATGTCTCGCTCATGGGTAAAACCTTCTTTACCACCTGCATGGCTGGCCGGGAAAGGCTCCAGCTGCTGTGGGCAAGGGGAGCCGACCCCCCACCTCTGCCCCGCCAGACTGGCAGGCCCCAAGGGCAGACAGACCACCCTTCCGCCCTGTCCCTTGACTGTGCACACATGGCTTTCTCCCTCATCTAGACCAAAGCTATTCACAGCTCAGCTGTGCCATGGCATAGCATTTTCTTTTCTGCACACATACCTTTATCCTCTTTATAAAGTCTTCCCTTTCCTTTACACTTCGGCTCGATTGTTTCAGGAAACTTCTCTTTTTCTCCCTCTGTTCATTCCTTCTGCTCCTGAAACCCTAAACTCAAACTCTAAAGAAATCATGTCTGAGAGGTATACAAGTTCTACTCGTCACATGGCCATTAAGGAAATGGAAAGCCATCCATTTCGGGTGAGAAAAGACAGATGAGCCAATGCCATCAAGCGTGGAGCTCCCTTTTCAGTACTCAAGGACCTTCTGAGAAACTCCTTAAGTCTCTTACTTCTTTTTACTTAAACTATTTTTTACTCCTTAAGACACTACTTGTTTGTTCTGTCCTATACTTTTTACATTACATATGCATCCCACATTCACTACAATGTAAAATAAGTGGGTTTTTACGGACTTTCCCAGGAACCTGAAGACATATTGTATCCATAGGAGAAAGGCAGTCCCAAGGAAGGGGGCAACAACCTTTGGAAAGTAACACATTTACAAAAGCTGAGACCGCTACGGATCAGCACATTTCCTCCACTGCACTTCACGCTTTCCTATCACGGTTCACATCTGGGCAGGAACAATAAATTGCTTCTTTCTTCTCATCCTCATCTTCCCTCAAAAACCTCCCTGCTTCTCCACAAAGATGGGATGGACTGATGACAGGCCAATTGGAAACAGTGTACACTAAAGCACTGGAGGTTATCCTTAACTGTAAGCCACACAGGGACTCTCTTGTATTAGTTGCTGTGAGGTAATACATAAGCCTATTACACCAACAGTGACCAAACACCAAAAAGAGGAATTGGCATTATTACAGAAGACAAAAAGGTTAACTGATGTCAGAAAGGTCTCCTGGGCAGAACTGCACACATATTTGAGACCCGTGAGATTTTTTGTTTGTTTGTCGAAAAGCTTGGCCCACGACTGCCATGCCTCCCAAAATTAGTTAGCTAAGCAGAAACCTAGTTTGGCTTAGGGTCTTTTTACCGTGTCACATGTAAGAACCTGTATCAAAAGAAACGGCAACGGCAAAGATACACTTCCAAGTGTTTAAGGCCTGCCACAGTCTTTGGGGGTCGACTCCTTGCTGCGGTGGGATCACTCTCCCACAGAATCGAACGGCATCTGAACCCCCCGCCCCAAGAGGAGGCAGAACAAAGGAGTGAGTAAACACATGAAGCAGTTTCAAGTTTTATCCTTTTTTTCTTTATACCCGATGCCTGACTTGCCTACAAAACCACTTCTGTCAAGTGACCAGTGGATATTTAGTCACAGTGCTTCAGAGTAGCAGAGGGTCTCTAGGAGGGCGATCACCTGCACCATCTAGGAAATGAGGCTGGCACGACCACAGCTGTTAAGAGCATCGGCCATACAGGAAGCTGATGGGCGCAGACTTAGGAAAGCATTTGTCCTTTTTTTCCACGCATACATTTACTTTAAGATTCCATAAAAAGTTGGTTTAGAAACACAAGGTTTTATTAGTGATCTGAATTAAAACACTCAGGTTAAACCAAACCATCTGTCATTCATACATGTAAACTGTTCTGATGAGCAGTACAACAAATGCCGAGCCCCACACCGCCTGGGGAGTCAAAACACCCCACACAATGAATGGACCTAAATTACGGAGTTGAACGAAAACAGAAAAGCCTGAAGAACTCAGATCTACGTGACAGAAACTGTATTACTCAGAACAAAAAAAAAGAAAGAAAGAAAGAAAGAAAGAAAGAAAGAAAGAAAGAAAGAAAACCCTTTATTAATCAGTTGTAATTTGACATCTTCAGTCAGACTACAGTAGTGAAACCAACTGCTTTCTTGAGCAGTACCTTCCTAAAACAGAAACCAACCCAAACCTGCGTTAGGGCCCTTCTACAATGTGTAATTTCTTCATTATGATGGAATGCAACAAAATATCTTGCCCTTGGGTTGCTCAGTTTCAGCCCAAACAAATGCAAATGGCTTGTCAGCTGACAGCTGTTTGATAAGGCTCCCCTACAAGACCTGCATACTTTACTTTTTTCCGTGAAACTCGGGATGAAAGGCAGAAGGCAGGAAGAGAATTAATGTAGCATACAGTCTAAAGGCAATGCTACAACCGTGATTAAGTAGAAAAGTTAAAAGGCACAGATTTTCCACAGCTTCGCTGCGTGCAACCCATCCGTGTAACAAGTTGACAGGCCTAGCGCGTCAGCTCCATCATCCCCTCCGACAGCTAAAACGCAGCACTGCATCCCTTTTCAGAGAAAATTTGCGTCTGCACCATGAAGCGTTGTACATTATTTCTTAGCACTGCAGGGGGCTCAAGTCCATATGGAACCTTCACAAATATTACCACAGATCAAACCAGCGGCGTTTGGAGGCAGATTTGACATACCTATTTAAATGAACAGCAGGGGTCCTCGGGCAGCCTCGGGCTGCGGGGGAGGCTCGGCGGAGAGCCAGCCGCAGCTCCATTAGTCAGCAAAGACACACTCTACATTTATCATTCATTTCATTTCTGCCAGGGCAAGAAGCTCATTTGCCCAAGGTCAACAAAAAGCGAAAAGAAGGTTTTCTTTTTTTTCCCCAAGAAATAAATGTACCTGACAAGTGGGGATTTTGTCCTTTGGGTTTGTGGAGCACAAATAAACACCAGAGAGTTCTAAAAAAGCCGAGTGAATGTGTGCCTGGGATTCAAGCAACCTGAAAGCTGACTGAGGCTGGGGAAGCCCAGTGCATGTTTTTGCAATTTTTTAAAAACCGTATAATGAAGAAAATAAAACTTGACACCGAGTTCTTAAAGCAAGATAGGTTCTGTTGTCCAAAACTGGGTATTAGCAGCTAGCCATTTTATTCATAATACCCTAGGGAACCCCCAAATTTGCACGCTATCAGACACTTAGAGCGCTGAAACAACAACGAGAAAAAGCTGTTCCCAGTACAAACGCAGTTGCAAGTCAACGTGTAATAAAACCATTTCTTAGGTCTTTGGAGGGCACAAATTCTAGACTCATAACGCTGCATTGGCCTCTAAAAGGCAAAAACTGTATAGGATAAACAAAAAGTACAGACAACAATTCGCCCGTGGTAAACGCCTTACAGCCCCTGACAGCAGCCTTACCCTCCACACACGTGCCTGCATTATGACTGAGCGGAGCACTGACCTCCGAAAATGATCTCAATTTGTAAGTACCAGCATTTTAAGGCCAGACATTCAGACATAAATTCTATGGTGTTTATTTACCTTTAGCAAAAATGAGTTAGTAAGATATAAAGTCTTTCGACATACTGCCTTACCTCTAGAGATCTTAGTTTTGCTCAGTCTGAAACATACTAGGTAAATCCTGAAGCCGAGCAAGATCTCTGGTACAGTCACTTAGCTTACAGTTCATATTATTAATCATCGATGTAATATACTTACATGCATTAATGAATAATACGACTGTTTGCCGGTATAGAAGAGAAAATGAAATGGACGGCCATCCTCTCCCCACTGGATCGCTAATAAAAAGCGAAATGAAAATAAACAAAAATAAAAATTTATAGGTATATTTAACTGAAGTTAGGAGACATATCTACAATTCTGATTAACTTTTAATGACAAAACAGCATTAATATTTGGAATTTTAGTATTTGGTTCAGCATGTTTAATGTGCTGTAAACTATTTAGGATATTTAATATTCCACACTCATTAACATAAAACAGTGTTTGTATCTGATAAAATATTCCTGTGCAGTTCACCATGAGAATTTCTAGAATTTGTTTTAAATAAACACACATAAAATAGCAAAAAATCATCTTGTTAGAACAAAGAATTTAGGTTTGGCTAAAAATAAAACACACTCCCATATTCTTAAAAAGGGAAGCTGAAAAAGTCAATGCTGTCATACATTCAGGAAATTAGGAAAAGGCATAATAACATAACAAAGAAAAAACTAAATGGATTTTTCCATGCCACATTATTTGTTCCAACTCTGTGGTAACACACCTCTGAGAGCTCAAACGTCTAAAACAGAAGGGCCCCCACAAGGTGTTATGTGTAATTCCTTTTGAAATACAGATGGTCATTCACATCTAATAAACACCAAACAAACTGAGGAATGGACTCACTGTAGTAAATAAACCAAACCTGACTCCACATCCTTTGCCCTTATTTCTACTGTTCTTTCTTGGTTAACCATTTGTGGGAACTTCAATATGTTAAAGGTACACTCCTCTGTCAATTACAGAAGTTGAAAACTCTTTTCTCCCAATCACTCACTCACTTCTTAAAAAAAAATTTTTTTTTTTAGAGAAAGCATCTTTTTTTTTTTTTTTTTAAAGGAATGAGGTCCTTTATCTTTTTTTTTTTTCATGGGGAGGGTATGTGAGACAAACACAGACAGCCTTAATGTGTTGAAATCCTTTGTCACCCACCTTTTACTTCGGTTTACAGTGTCTTTCATAGTCAAGAAGTTTAAAATATATGCATACTGTAGAATCTGTCACTTTTCTCTATAGCACGGTTTACTGGCTGTTTCTCACTATCACCCCTACTAAGGAGCCTTGCTAGACATCTTTTTCCCTAATTGCCTCCTCCCCATGAAACTTCAATATCACAAACATACCGTAGATCTGTTGATGTATACAGAGGTCATTTGGAGGGTCGTAAACATTCTAAGAGTTCAGACTTTTCTGACCTCCTATGAATCCATTTACACTTTGGGATTTCTAAAAACTATTTTCCTATATTTTCTTCTGGAATTTTTATTTTTTTTTCATGCTCAGAATTTCATCTATTTGAAATCTATGTTCATCAGGCAGAATCCAAGTTATTACCTTGTGCAGCAAAGAGAGTCTTTGTCCCATCAGTTTTTTGATACTACACTCTTCTGTTGAGTCAATCTTTTTTTTTTTTTTTTTTAAGATTAATTTTAGAGAGAAAGAGAGTTCACTCAAGCAAGCACGAGCAGGGGGAGAGGCAAAGGGAGGAGAGTGAATCTTAAGTACACTCCATGCCGAGAACGGAGCCCAAAGTGGGGCGCGATCTCATGACCTCGAGATCACGAGCTAAGCCAAGACCAAGAGTCCGACGCTTAACTGACTGTTCCCGTCCAGATGCCCCACTACGCTCTTGTGTTGAAATACCATCTGTACAATAAGTAGGATATTTCTGCTTCTGAGGGTAACGGACATGACACTCAGGCCACTCTAAGTGAATATATTTAAAGTAGGATATTTCTGCTTCTGAGGGTAACCGACATGACACTCAGGCCACTCTAAGTGAATATATTTAAAACAAAGACCAAAATTTCATAATAAATTCTGAAGAAAAGTCTTGACAGGGATTTTAGCTTGAAAAAGAAAACTAGATTCTTATACGCCAAAGGCAGTGGATAAATTAAATACTTCTCCAACATCATTCTCAGACCTCACGAACTCCTGCATATTTTCCCACAGCTGGAACTTCACTAAGCAGTCCATTTGCACTGTATGTAGTGCCGAAGCCGTCAGAAAGTGCCTAAGAAAGACAACGATCACGGCTGCACATAAGACTCTATTGTGAAACTCGGGAGGGGTTTCCGAGCGGGCCTCATTTCGTGTGTGAGTATATAGACATGCGTGTGGATACACTTCATTTCATAATATTCCATTCAATCCAAGATGTCACAGATTTGAAGATGCCCCATCATGTATCTTACCCAAAGGAGGGAGGAGAAAATGCTGAACATCGTGGTTTACATTAACTGTAAAATTAATCCTGTGGTCAAAAATGTTAAAACTGAAAAACTGTCTTGGAATTCACCAAATATGACATTAACAAACATGCTGCTGCTGAATAACCTGGTCCACTGGTCTGTCCTGACACGGCATCACCACCACCCTTTGACTAAAATAAGCTTTTGCTGCATTTGATAGCTGCTAAGGTAACGTTCCTACATTACCCTTACTTTTTAAAAAGTTCTCTCTGCTTCTTACACATTTACCCTTTCAAATTAAGCTTATAAATATCTCCCAAAAGTCCTACTGGGACTTGGATTAAAATTATATTCCGTTCGGGGGCTCCTGGGTGGCTCAGTTGTTAATCATTTGCCTTCAGTTCAGGTCATGATCCCAGGGTCCTGCGATTGAGTCCCACATCGGGATCCCTGCTCTGGGAAGCCTGTTCTCCCTCTCCCACTCCCCCTGCTCGTGTTCCTCTCTCGCTGTGTGTGTCTCTCTCTATGTCAAATAAATAATAAAATCTTAAAAAAACAAACAAAATTATATTACATTTGTTAATTTTTAAGGAAGTAACTTTCCAGTATCTTTTCTTACAGAACATGAAATCTTTTTTCTAGCTATTCAGACTTTCACCTATGAGGTTTATAATTTTACTAATTTTCATATTTACTACATAATAATTTTCTACATAAAAACTCATGCATATTTTTCTAAGTTTTACCTGTATTTTAGTTTTTAGTGTTCTTGATACTGTCCCCTCATTTAACTATGTTTTCTATAAAATTAACTTTATGCGATATGCCCTTCTTTCACTATTTTTTCAACGTTTTTCTTTTTTTTTAAGAGCAGTTCACAGCAAAGTTGAGAGGAAGGTAGAGATTTCCCATATACCATCTTTGCCCCCAAATATGCACAGCCACCTCCATCATAAAAAATCCCGACAGTGTGCCTTTGTTACAAGTGATGAACCTACTCTCTCTGGAGAATTATTATCACCCTAAGTCCACAGTTAACAGGGTTCACTCTTGTACACTCGGTGAGTTTGGATCCAGCACTATAATATCATACAGAGTAGTTTCAGTGCCCTAAGGATCCTCTGTGCTCCACCTACTCCCCTTAACCCCTGGCAACCACTGACCTTTCCACTGTTTCTGTAATTTAGCCTTTTCTAGAATGTCATATACGTAGAACATAGTAGGTAGCCTTTTCAGATTAGCTTCTTTCCCTCGGACATTTGCATTTAAGTCTCCTCCATGTCTTCTCGTGGCTTGACAGCACCCTTCTTTTTAGTGCTGAATAATATCCCATCATCTCTACATACCACAGTTTCATTACCCATTCAAATATGGAAGGACATCTTGGCTACTTTCAAGTTTTGGCAATTATGAATCAAGCTGCTATAAACACCTGTCTACAGGTTTCTGTGTGGACCTAAGTGTTTAACCGCTCTGGACAAATACCAAGGAACACAAATGCTGGATCGTATGGGAAGAGTACGTTTAATTTTTTAAGAAACCCCTGAACTTTCTTTCAAAGTGGCTGTACCATTTTTGCATCTCCATCAGTGATGAATGAGAGCTCCTGTTGCTCACCATCCTTGGCACAATTTGGTGGTGTCAGTGTTCTGGATTTTGGCCATCCTAAAAGGCGTGTAGTGGTATCTCACTGTTGCTTTAATTGGCATTTCCCTGAGGTGAAGCATCTTTTCATATGTTTACCATGTATATACCTTCTGTGTTATCTATTAAGAACTTTGACCAATTCTTAAATTGGGTCATTGGTTTTCTTACTGTTGAGTTTAAGAGTTCCTTGTATATTTTGGATAACAGTTCTTTATCAAATACGTCTTTTCCAAATATTTCTACAATCTGTTGGCTTGTCTTTTCATTCTCTTGACAGTGTCTTTCTCACAGCAGAAAATGTGAATTTTAATGAAATCCAGCTTCTCCTTTGGTGTTGTACATAAAAAGCCATAGCCAAACCCCAGGTCTCCTGGGTTATTAATTACTGATTCAATTTCTTTAATTGATACAGACTTATTCAAATTGTCCACTTCTGGTGTAAGTTCTGGCAGACTGTATCTAACCTACAAGAAATTGGTCCATTTCTTGTAGGTCATCACTTCCAGAGGCATAGAGTTGTTCATGGTATTCCTTGATTGTCTTTTTAATGTCCCTGATCTGTAGCAGTATCATTTCTTTCATTTCCAGTACTAATCATCTGTGTCCACGCTCCTTTCTTTCAGCTAGCCTGACTAGAAGCTCATCGATTTTATTGATAAAATAAAACTGACGTATAAAATCTATTATCAAAGAACCAGTTTTTGTTGATTTTCTTCACTGATTTCCTGTTTTCAACTTCACTGGCTTCTGCTATAATTTTTATCATTTTTTCTTCTACTTACTTCAGATTTAATTTGCTCTTCTTTGTCTAGTTTCCTAAGATGGAAGCTTAGACAAGTGATTTTAGATCTTCTTTTCTACTATACACTTTCACAATGCTATAAATTTCCCTCTGAACACTTTTGTCTATTGTTTTTATAAAGATTAAATACCAGAATTCCCTTGCCACAGACAAGGCTCAAGTTGATTGTTCTAGACTCTTTCAGTTCATTTACCTATGTCTACCTACCTACTGAAATACAAAGGACTGTCTGCATGTTTTTAAAAACACAATGGTATTAAGCTGTATTTACATTACATACTTCTTACAGACTATTTGTCTTCCCCTGGCCCCAAAATTCATATTGGAGCCTAATCCTCCATATGCTGGTATTTTGGTATGGGGCCTCTGGAAG